GACGAATTATTCATTCTGTCAAGAGAGTGGGGTAAAGAAACTTATTCCCTTGCTCATTAAGGTCATATCTCTAGCATCTTTTAGCAAAGACATGTTAACACGGGTAGAAGTCCGTGTCTGAAAAACGTCGACTGCTTAACCTTCCTATTTCGCGCCAAGAACGGAGGCCTCGATCCAGACTTACGCGGCTTCTCTGCCGTTCGTGTTGTCAAGAACGTCTGGTGCTTAAGCTATCTAAAGTCATATCAAAGAGACAGACTTGGGCATTCATACCTCATCATCCGGGTATTTTGAGTAAAGTTCTTGTGTGCGTATTTCCACGGACATTCCAATGCCATCTTCTTTGTCTGGTTTGGCTGTGGTTGTCTCAGCTCTTTCTGTTCTAGAATGCAATTTTTCCTTTTTCTCTGAACATCCATTCATAGCTTCATCGCAACTTCTTTTCCTTGAAACTATCTGATGTTGTTGAAGCATTTTCGAATTTATCGTATACGAGTCCCTCGGAAGACTGTTTCCAGGAGAACGAAATATTAACACAAAACTGCAATGAGAAAAAAGGAGAAGCTTTTGTTTCCCCTAATGATTATACTTTTGAAAGTGTTCTCATTTACAAGAGTCCGTCTGCTTTGGAGTTATCCCAGAAAATAAGGTGCTCAAGTACAGATTACTTTCAAACATGCTTATATACGACTAGAGATTGGAAAGATTCCAGGCCGCTGACCTGTGACTGTTTTTGAGAATCGGCAGGGAACATTAAAATGAAGACGCACGTGCACAGAATTAGATTGCCACTGGGCCCCCATGCGCTGTGAAAAGATTAAAGCCCAGTTTACTTATAAGAACTTTTCACTGTTGGACGTATCATTTGACAGGTTTTGATCAAATTTTGTCCATGTTGCGACAAATTAGAAAGAGAGAGGTGCACCATAGGTAATTCCTTGTGCGCTCAGTTGGATTCACGTATTTTTATTAACGCTACGTGGTGTGGCATGCTAGTCCAAGGATCTGTTTGTGTTCTGATAGGCCTCGAAGGCCTCACTCTCCGAGTATTGTTTATATCACGTTGTATCATGTTGTTCGAACCAATATAGGTGTCATTGCGATAAGTCTATGAAAAGAGTCACGATAATGTTGCTTGACATTTAAGGACACAAACGAGCTTACCCATGGTGGATTCCGTCCCTAGCGGGACCATTGTCCACAATTTAAATTTCAATAAAATATTCAATCATCTAGAGTACTCGTGCGTAAACGAGATTGAACATGACGTCCTTTCGGACGTAAATCAACCATGTGCTGAGTTTTTGAAGTTTCCCGCGGAACAGTTACGATTCGATTTCGTCCTCCATGGAAAGGAAATCTTTAAGTTGATTTTAGTTTGTGCATAGTTAACTATGGTTTGTGGAGTAAAATTTTCGTGACAATATAACAAGTAACAATATTTCACACTGTCCTTTGCTATGCAACAAAATAAGTAATTTACGCTAACCAATCTATTTTGCGTTTCAAAACATGCATTTCTGAATTCATGGTGGAATTGATAAAAAGTAGTAAATTCCTGATCTCTTTAGACCATGACCTACGAAACAGAATGTTACCAGCTTTGAAATACCCGGTTTTTCACTTCTTGCTATGTTTGACTTGCGTTGAGGTTCTTGTTAACCTGACTGTGAATTAGTTCGTTGATAACTTTAATTCTCTAAGAGTTTCAGCTAGAAAGAAAACACAGTACCTTCAATTTTTTCAAACTTTTAAACTTGTCAGTGGCGCAAACAGGTGGGATTCGGTGCTGAACTCTTCCTGCGCGCTCGAGTTTCAACGGATAGCGATCGCAACTCAGTGGTACAGAGCTTGTTTCGGATGAGTGGTCCTTTTACTATTTCCACTTTTATACTTGACAAACAGATTCCGTAAAGAGAGTAATGACGTCTGTTACAAGGGGTGAACACGGAATTTCATTTTGTGTCGCCGTTAGTCGGTTCACTTATGGTTCACAGCCGACGTCATAAAATGGGCAAGTGTGTCCTTCATTTTGTTACCACGTATTGACGTAATCTGCGATCGAACACTCGCTGGACTAAGTATCAATGTGAGACGTAAGGAAGCATTGCAATAATTAATTGCACAGCGCTTAATATTCAGTTCGTTGTATAAACTTAAATAGATTCTTAAGTGAAAGGGAAAAGTTTTTTTTTATAAATTCTTCATTGAGATTTCAATTAGGACATACGTATTGTCAACTTATCAGAGGAATTTATGATCCACTAAGGCGGGGAAAAAAAATTACAAACTGAGTGGCTAAAGAGTTTATTTTACCCTTAGACTTGACCGAGAGTTAATGATTTAACCCTCCCACGCATAATAAAGGATGTAATCAAGCAAAACTCCCGGAAAAATGGTCGGAGAAAAAAATTTCACACTTTGATTTAAAAATTAAAATATGTATACTGAAAAATATTTTAACACTGTTAAAGTTGGTGTTAGTTTCCTTCACTGAGTCTATACGAAGTTAATGCTAAAAGAGGCATTTGATGAAAACTGGCTTTAAAAGAGATATTTATGAGATAAATCGAACAATGAGTTGTATCGATCACTTCTACGCTATCTCCTCTTTGAAATTTTACTCATACAAAACGGCTTCGTAAGAGACTAAACGACGACGGGTGTGTCCAAAACTGGATGGAAGGCTAAATGTCTTCCTGTTTGGATTCTTCAATATTGCACCCCTATAGAGTTTGTTACCTTTGAGCTTGATGGTGTCTCCAGTGATTCTTAAGTGAGAGAGGATGTGACGCATGCATCCTTTTTGTTTCCGCTACTTCGCCTATATCGAATTCATAGCGCGAGGAGAATATCGGCCCGAGGTCTTGACAGTACGGACCGAGCGCAGCGAGGTCCCTACAAAAAAGACCGAGGGCCGATATTCTTCCAGTACGGTCCCGAGCAAGCTTGGTTAATAAGAGATTTATTATACGACTGAAGTTCAAAGGGACACAAGTGCGGTATCATTCGGGACCATTCGGGACAGTGCCCGGTCCAATACTTAGAGAATATTGGACCGGCAATAGAGCATTTTGATTGGTTGATTTTAGTTATTGGCCCTCTGACTGCCCGAGTCGTGTAATAATAACAGTTGCCGACCATTACATTCAACCTTGAACTAGATAATATCAGTGGACTGGATTGGACTGCCACTAGACTGGACTAACCTAGAGGCAAACTTGTGAAAACTTGAATGGCACTCAAAAGTTGTATTATGAAACGAAGTATTACTTTAGACCTATAATTCAGTTTCTTTGGAAGTATCGTTACGAGATCGAGAGAAAATCTTTGTCACGCATTCTACTCACCCCGACCCTCTCGTCCCTGCTGAAGTACCGAGGAGATGAGGCGGGGCGAATAAATTTCTCACAACATTTTTTATTTGTAGGTCGTGCCGTTAGACAAAAAACACTGTCTGCGGTGGAATTTTATGCCGGACTGAAGGAAGATGCTGCGAGCTACTCAACAATTATACAAGACAGTATTTATGCTGATAGTCCTCTTTGACGGTAAGGGTTATGATCAGTTCAGACGAATTCGATGAAGATTGCGTACGTAAACAGCTAGATCATTTATAAAAATCACTCATGTGCATTCGCTGTAAACATACCGATGAGCGAAATGTGTAAAATTACAGTTCTCTCTCGATTTTGTTTAGAAAAGCGCTGGAGAGTAACGTCCCCATTTGGTTTCCCATTTGCCTGGGAGCGAAGCTAAGAGTCGACAATCCCTAACGTTGAAGTTTCGCACAATTTTCTGAAAATTTCCCATACCTCTACCACAGCAGCGCACACATGCCGATGGCACTGGCAAATGAGCTCGTGGTTCACCATGGCTTGTCTAGAAGCTGCATGCATATTCATTTCTGTTAGTACTTCATCAAGATTATCTCAGTTTTTTTCTGTGGCACTGTAGCCCTTCATAAAGTTAATGGCCACACAGAGTGAATATTAGTCCCGTAGCAGGAACGGAACAGGCAACTGGACTCGTAGTCCATAATTTGTATCGAGATCCACTAATCTGTACCGCTTGAAAATCACGAGACTTTGCTAGAACTTGGTTTCTACATCACTCAAGCACACTTCGCAGTATTATGGTTGCTGAGAAATTAGCGCACAGTTAATCTGCGCTTTGGGAAGGAATACTCTTGCTAACAGTTTCGTTCCAGTTTTAACTTGTCAGCTGAATCAAAATCAGAAAAATTGGGTAGAATGATGTTAGATGTGTTTCGTGAGATTTAAGCAGAATTTTGATCAGAGGAAATTATCGTTACAAAAAATTGCGCTTTTTTGTGCTGGTGCAAAGATGATGCTTGCTGTGCCCTGCAATTGTAACCTAATGTCCCTTACCTGCTGTTACTATCTGCAGGATAAATTTGAAGAGCTCATTAATTCCTGTGTAAAGTAGATAAATTGAGAATGTTTCATGCCATTAGCGTTAACTACGCAGGAATGTGAATTTTACATTTTTTTGTGAAATTAGGATGCATAAGTGCATAAGAGCAGTGTAATAATAGTGTAGGAAGAAATTATATGATTCATCCAATCCTCAAGGTTTAAAAGGTTATAACCAATAGGCAGGTAGCATATAGTTGAGGGGTAACTAGCCACCTTGAAAACCTCATGTTTATAATATCAATTTTTTTCAAGGGTTTTAGTTGTTTGAAACAACATTTCACAACAAATAAGCTCTTGAAGAATATTGAATGTTGTAATAAAGTTTCAAAGTTCGTTTATAAGTTGTGTTAATCTCACACAAATGAGCTTTCCAAGAATGTTGACTACAGTAACTGTGATTAATAATCAAAATGAGTTGAGGGATAAGTTATGCAAATCTCACACAAAGAAGCTTTCCAAGAATATTGAATATTGTAAGTTTAAAAATGAGTTCATGTGTTTCTTGTCCCCTTTGCCTTCCTTGATTTCACCAATCAAACATGGTGACTAGAACACTCAGTCAGAATATTATAACACTTGCATGCCAACAACATGCCTGCTGAAAGTCATTATACAGGTTCGTCGCTCCGACAAAGGGCTAATGCTCGAAACGTCAGCTTTTATAATCGTAACCGTGACCAATTTACCATTTTAACTTTGTTGATATATTCAAATAATTTAAGCATACCTTAGCTTTTATAAAGTACAACCCCCCCTGTGGCAGAGGGGGTACCTAGGTCAATTTTTGTGCTGGGTATGTGCTGCTGGCCTCTCAGAACCCGAACCCCATTTTAGTCAATTATAGTCAGTCAGACAGTCAGTAACTTTATTATCATGTCAAATCTTCTCTCTGACCATAAGTGGTCTACTAATTAGGTACACTTAAAATTTCACTAAAATCTAAAAATCACACTAAGATATTCAGTACAGGTGTATAAATATATGACAGGTGTATAAAGTGTAAACTGATTTTTGTGAAACAGTGCTCAATACATAGAAGTAGAGCAATGTATGTATATATTGTGGGAGGAAAAAGACAAATAAACTACAAGTTCATCCCTACAAGCCTGTTTCGTGGTTGCCCACTCATCAGGGGAAATGACTTGATGAGTGGGCAATGGAACAGGCTTGCAGGGATGAATTTGTAGTTTATTTGTCTTTTTACTCCCACAATATATAAAAGGTGTATAAATATATGGATTACAGTGAAAATTTTCCATTAAGTTAAATTGCCTATGCTTAAAATCAATTGGTACTTGACAATTATAATAAAATAACAATTAGGCTCCCGTCAATTAAGAATCGCAAGGGTGACAGTTTATGCAGCTGCCATCAGCAATTAATGTAGCCAGATTCTCCCTCCTGATATTTGCTTTGAATGTTGATAAGTAAGTTATGGCCCTGTTCTTACTTGATAGTTTTGCCCAAAGGAATGGCCAAAAAGTATCCTAGGGAGTGCTTCCCAAATTTTAATGAATTTATTCTATGAATAAAAGAGTCTGAATTTCTCAAGTTAGAACTGGAAGGTGATTCCTTAAAAAAGATCAACAATATTTTTGGGAAGAAGCTTATTTTTAACTTTGAACATAAAGATTGCGATGTCCTGCAACTGCCTATTAAACAAACTTGTCAAACATGCTTGAGAAAGCAACTCGTCACTATATGAAGAATTCCAGTCGCAGAATACAGCTCTAAATTAGCCTCAACTGTGCGTGGCTAATTGTAGTCCCCTTGTTAGTCAGGGCAGATGTTTTTGTGGACTTTGTTCTGGTCCAAAAGGAGTTTGGTCTGTTGTGCAACTGGTTAATGTTTGATTTGGTTTTATCAACTAAGTTGAAATTGTAAATTGGCCACCATAAAGAGTTAAAAAGCTGAAGTTTCAAGTGGTAGCCCTTCATCATAGGTTGTGAATTTAAGAATGAAATGTATTACAAGCAGATTTTAAGCATTAAAAAACAGCACTAAATTCAGGTACAAATTATTAAGAGCCAATCTTTCCACTTTTATACGTCTACCAGGAATCTATTTTTAAGTAAATGACTCCTGTTATTACTTTTAGAATTTTCATACCCCCCAAAATCCCAAAAATGTGCAACCCTACTTTTTAGCAACTCTATTAAAAATGCAACCCTATTATAGTCAATCTTGGTGTGAAAATGCAACCCCATTCAGTGGCACATCTCCACTAGCCTATTACTAGGAAGTGTCCCCCTCTCACACCCCAGTACAGCCATGGAACTAGTAAAGAGTGGCAGTCTTAAACTTTCAAAAAGCATTAGGCTTAGCCCTTGAACACAGCTCAACATTGAATACGGTCAGTAGTACTGAATGCCTATAAATGTGATTTCTACACAATCCAATTGACTACCTTGACATAGTGTGACATTGTCCAAGTTAATGGTTCATAAAGGGAAGGACTGTGTTATGAAAGTTTTACTCTTCTTTCAATACATCATTTTTCTTTTACAATTTTTACAGGTTTAGCAGTAGTTGAACCACGAGTCCAAATAATAAGTCCTGTAGAGAACCAAATCATCAAGTTCAACCAATCTGTCTTTTTCAACTGTACTGTCAGTCTGGGAAAGAACATCACTGGAACACTTGAGTGGAGAAGAGATGGTGCTTCACTTACACCCACTGAGAAATCTCAATATTGGGCAAGTTTTGAAATCAGTAAGTATGTTAGTAATATAGTGAGTTAGGAAAGAGAGTTTAACCCTTGTTCCCAAAGAGTGACTAGCATCTCATTTCTCTTTACCCTGAATAAAACACTACTGTCATGAGAATAAAGGAAATGATAAACAGCTAAACAAGTTCTTGAATATTGCATAAACTCTCCTTGTGAGCACCTCAGGAAATGCAGAGAAAACAGTATGGAGAATATGTATACTAATGTAAGGGTGTAAAGAATTAAAAGGGGTAACACCTAATAGTAAATCTGGGAAAAACTAACCCAGTTTATTGTACTCTCAGAAGTGATTATCATGTAACTTCTCCCTCCAATATCCATGCATTACCCAACAAACAGGTGACAAGAATACTCTATCCATTGAGCTAACTGCCTCCTGGTTAGCTCAATTCCTAGAGTGCTGGACTGATGTGCGGGAGGTTGAGGGTTCAAGCCCCAGCTGGACCAACGCTCAAGGTCTTAAAATAATTGAGAAGAATATGCTACCTTTCTATGACAACAAATGGATAGATATTCTAGTCTTCTCGTATAGGGACGAATAAATGGAGGTCCCGTCTCCTGCAGGGTTGGGGTAGGAGACCTTAATTTCCCACACACGAGATTACTGTGTGATGGATGTCCTCCCCTGGGGTGGGATGCGTGGGATTTATTGGGTGGACTACTCGCATGGTTCACATATGTTCAGTTCTAGTCCTACCCTACTGCGGTAATGCAGTGGAAATGGTTAGAATTAAACTCATCAGGTAGAGGTTCTAATCTTAATTTAACACCAAATTCTAGTCACTAGTCTACAAGGGAATGTATAGCAGTTAGGGTGGAGAATTAACAATCAGATCTTGGGAGTTAGAGAGTTGACCATTCATACTTATATAAATCGAATATTCAAATTAAACTAAAAGCCAAGTTTAGCTACAAGTTTAGCAACCAATGCTAGCGATATGCTAGCAATGTGACGTTAAAGGACTTGAAATTTTTCATGATTAGCTGATAAAAAAGTAGCTAAAATAGGTATAATGGTGTGCAAGCTCATAAGAAATTGAAAGGAAATAGATGTATTAAAAAATGTATTTCTCTTGTCTTCTGAACACTGATATTGGTTTTAATGATGATTGTCTTGATAGGAGCTCTCCAAAAAGATCAGGAAGGAATTTATCAGTGCATTTACTCTAATGGTGAGAGAGACCAAGTGCGAGTGTGCCTTGCAGGTAACAAAATGAACTGATGCTCTATGAGTCAATTAATTTACAACCTAAGATTAGTATGGATATTCACCATACTGTTCTCTATACATTTCCTAAGGTGCTGACATGGAGAATTTGTCTAACAATCAAGAGCTTCTTTAGTTGGTGATCATTTCCTTTATTCTTGTCACCTAAATGTGTGATTCAGGGGTGATATTGTAAGGAGAAATTAGATGCTAGTCACCTCGAGGGGGTTGCAGGATAACCAAAGGTGTTACTCATTATGTCATTCCAAAGATAGGACAGAGAAAAACAACAGAATCCCCAACAGCAAGTGAACTGCACTTTGTGCCAGAGTAGGCTTGTGACCCCCAGTACAGTTGCACCTTTATTGAATGGAATTGTACTTAAAGCAGTCATCCTTTATTAATTAAGCAATCAGTTACCAAGGTCCTAAATTTGTTTCCCCTTCAGTCGTAACCTATGGAATCTGTATTAAGCGGTCACCAGGATGGGGTTGGGTGTTGGGCTAGCAGCTGGTAATAACTCCATCCTCCAAAGTTGTACCTCAAGGTGGTGTAAGGGGGACAAGAAGACTGTAGCACTTCCAATGCAATTTATTGTATTTTTATATTTTGTGTTTGTTTTGTTATTATAACTTACAGAAAAGCCACAGGGATGGCCTATTAAATTCACCAGTCCAATAAGTACCCATCTTGATGAATTCCCCACACTGAGTTGTTTTGCGATGGGATGTCCCACACCAAACATCATTTGGTTTAAAAACAATTCACAAATAACTGCAACCGGCAAAGGCCGTAGATATTCCATTGACAATAAAATAACACAGCCTGGAAATCGCACATCAGACTTGAGGATAAGGGCAGTTCAATTAGATGATGCAGGGGACTATGTTTGCATAGCTCGTAATGCTCTTGGAAGTGACAACAGCACAATAACACTTTATGTTAAAGGTAATAAACTAATTTATTATATCTCTGGCAGTGCTCTTGGGCAAAATGAAATGAATCGTTTGTTCTGATTGGCTACTTGAGCTGAATAGGATAGGTCCATCTTGTCCACTTGGGATTGCCCTCTTTGATAGGGTGTAAGAAACACTTGAGTCAGTACAAAGTGCGTAATTCTTGTAAAATGTCAGCGTTGGAAATGCAAAGGAGGTAGAAAACAGTCAAAACTAAGAAAACATAAACCACTCTCATTAGTTTCTTGTGTAACAAACACAGTTGGCTTTCTTTCCTGGCTCTCGAAATAAACTCATCAAATCATTTTTGACTTGTAGTAAAGCAAATCTTTTTGCAATTTAATAAATCCTTTAGTGACCAAGCTTATTTGGTCAAGATTGCCGGATTTACACTCATTCCTTTTGTACATTTTATGGACCTCCATTTCATCTCGGTCCATAAAAATGCAAAAAAGATATATTGACTATGATGCAGTGACATATATACCACTAATTATAATTTGTAAGTTTTTAAGTGGTCACTGTACTTTTCGGTCAGTAAATTGTATTTTGATGTGTTCTACATCTAGAATGTAGAACAAATTATTTTGCCAGTTGCAAAATAATTTGGAAAAAAATGTTTGAAGAATAAGTGATGAACAAAGCAAAGAATGTAGGTAGAAACAAGCTTTACTAAACTATATTTCCACCTACTACTAAACCTCATTTGATTTTGCAGGTACAAATAATCCTCTTGCTACAATAGAAGCAGAGAAACCCAAATACACTGCTGAAGTTGGGACCAAAGTAACCCTTGTTTGTGTCGGTGAACAGGTCAAAGAGGATGTTTTTACCAGTGTTTATTGGTCATTTAAAGGAAATGTGCTGTCAAATTCCAGTAAACACTACATAGTAAATGATTTTTTCACCCTTAAGGTAGGAAGTACACCTAAAGTACAAACAGAACTCACGTTGTTAAAATTGGATTATGAGGATAGTGGAAATTACTCTTGCAAAGTGGTCGATGCGTATCGTATCGAAAGTGATCTGGTGGTACTTGAGGTGATTCCAAAAGGTATGACACCATTTTCTTCTATAATGAACTCAATAGAATAATCTGATTGACTTAGTGGACTGCTTCCTTTAATTAAAGGACTGTTCTCACCAAAAGATTTTTGAGTGATGTTTGACCATGACTTTTGATTGATCGTTCAGTTTTTCCATTGTTATTGGCTAAAGTGGCATTTGACATTCAAATCCTCCCCCCTCAAAATTACATTACTTTGTACCCCTTGTGAGAGAACTTAAGCTTACAAGCCTTAATAGACTTTTATTTGGTTTTCTTGCCGTTAATCCTTTTTTTTTCTTTGTAATCATTTTTTGTATGGAATGGCAAATGAAATAAATAAACTTTGTACTGATCAGCTGCATGCTGAAAATGAAAGAGATGCAGGATGGGAATATTGGAGCGTCACCAGCCAAGCTCACCCCCGTTCTTCCTCTCCCCTTCCCCCCTTTTCTTTTCCCTTTCCCCTCCCTCCCCATCCTTACCTTAACAGGGACCATGGAGCAAGGTGTAAAGTGGGAGGGCTGACAATTGAAAATAATTTTTTCATACTGAAAATCGAAAAAAGGTATAAAATCATAGTATTTTGTTTCTGTCGCGTGACTCTGTATACTTTATCCAGTATTTGCTGCTCTTTATAGGTCGGCATTAGTGAAGATACCGTTTCAAGTCTTTTTTTTATTTTAATTATTTTTCTTTTTAGCGCAAAAAGTGGGGGCGGGGCACAAAAAAGGGGTAGGGTGGCGGCCCTACCAGCCCCTCCCCCTCCGTGGTCCCTGCTTAAGGGCTTTATCTACTGCTTAATGAATTCAAATATTTTGAAATTTTGTTTATATCAGAATATTTTAGTGACGCCCGTTTTGATTTCATTGGGTTTCAAAAGCTATGTGTGGAATGGCTTAGCTTTGTCATTTATTTATTTATTTTGTAACATATATCCAGTCGTTAATAATCATTCGTAACTTTTTCATCATCAGATGACAAGATGGTACTGTGGTTGATAATTGTCATTTCTTTTGCGGTGCTTTTGGCCTTGGCTCTTTTTGTTTTAATCTTTATTTTGTGGCGGAGGAGAAGACGCAAGCAGAAAATGAAAGCTGCTGCTGGAAAATGTGAGTAAGTCCATGGTGGTGATAAAAACATTGTTTATGATACGCATAGCAAAAGGATATATCATACAGCAAGTCCTCAAGGACAGACTAACAATAATTGTTCCCTCTATATATGCAATCCCTTGATGAACTCAGGCAAGTAGGGCATGTTGAAAAAGGCTCGGTGTAAGTTGCGTGCGGGCATTTTTATGGCAAATCCTACTGTCTGGTGCAGTGGAGCACATGTAAAAGAGGCACTGTTAACAATCGACATCTGCGAACGGAGGCCCTGGCCCTTATTGTACATTTTGAGTTTTTTTAACGAGTTTTGCAATTTTTCTTAATTTTTTCACAGATGATCATGAGGATGGCTTCTTCACAAAGGACGTGTTCATTTCGTACAGTGGCAAAGATTATGATTGGGTAAAAGAGTTCTTGATGCCACCACTGGATCACAATCAAATAAACTACATCATTCATTCGCGCGATTTCGTGCCAGGGAAAACGTTTATCGAGAACATGGCCGACAGTGTCTACAACAGCAGAAAAGTAATTCTGATTATGTCCGCGAACTACCTAGCCAGCGGATTCTGCAAGGATGAGATGTACATGGCCACTCACAGAGAGTCGGCGAGGAACGATGCGTCACTTATTGTTGTGCGCATTGACAACAGCATCAAAACCGCTGACATACCAAAGATCCTACGGCACCGCACCTTCATCGACGTGACCAGTCAAGAGGAAGTCGCCACTTGGGAGAATAGAATTCTCGATTACGTGCGCTCAGACAGCCGACCTGTACCCACACCGCGATCTGCAATCGAAAGCGTTACGTCAAATGAGAGCATGCAATTTTCAGAAACGAGGAATCTTCTCTCGAAGTTCAAGTTGAAGAAAAAAAGGAAAGTGCCGAATAATGGGCGTAATGTTGAACAAGAGCTTGTCAAGGTTGATGATGACGAAGATGACTTAAACTTTACGTAGGGCTTTGTAGCTTAGCAAGACTAGTTTCTTCGCATATATTGTGCTATACT